ATGCGATACGTCGCTTCCAGTTCTAGCCCTTTGCAGCCGCTGCCCAGAAACTTGCTGAGCAGCTGAATCCTTACATCACCGCCTTTGGCCCATGCGACCGCCATCTCAGTGCAATGCTGGTGACTCGCCAAGAACCTTTCCAGCTTCTTGTAGGCTCCCGGATGCGTAGAAGAGTTGGGCCTCACAGCAGGGGCGGGAGTTGCGGAGTCTGGCGGCGGTGGCACCGGCGGACTCATCCGAAAATTCTTCATCATACTCTGAGTCGCAGAATTCTCAGGCCCAGGACCTGCTGCCTCCTCCCTGCGCAGGCCACCTTTTCTTCCTCAACCCAAAGGGCAAGGTTCACATTTTATCCGCCCCCGACAGTCAGACTTTCAAGTGCGGCCGGAAGTGGCAAAGTAGCATGATACCGGTACAGGCTTTGGGGCAAGGAGCGGAGACATGTTCGCAGGGCGATCCTGCGGCTTTTCCAATTCGAACTAAAGCCGACCTTATAGAGGCTATCAACCGGAAACTCAGGCGATAAGCCTGGCATGGTGCTCCGGAAGTGTTGAAAACGGAGCCTGCGTGAATGTCCCTGAACACAGGCAGTTGAGTTCACTCGGCACCGCAGCTTTTGGCAGGTTCGAGAGAGAGAAATCAGTATCGGACCATGACCTCCCTGTTAGACAGTGAGGCTCAGTTCTTGCAACGAGCCGCCGAGCTCGGCATCCCAGACGCCGCTGTGCAAGCCTTCAAGAGACAGGGTCTGTCCACCCTCAACCGCTACGGCTTCGCGCAGGGACAGCCAGGACGCCCATCGACGAGACGTCATTCAACGCATTCTTTGAGGGCATCGCAGGTGTGGGTCAATCCTTAAAGACCCTATCAGCTGCCAGGAACCTGCTCTTCGAGGCGCACGTGTTCATCAGTGCTAGTCTCAAAAACCGAGTCGAAGCCACAGCCGACACTGCCAAGCCAGGGCCAAGAGCTGAGCGCAGCGCCAGGTTGGAGAACCTCAGGACTAAGCACCCGGGACTCGAGATCTCCAAAGCCCTAGAACCCGGACACACCATGTTGGACTCCGCTTCACATCAGGCAGAGTCCAAGATCCTAAAGTACATGCCACCTTCAAGGTGTGCCTCCAGAGAACAAGAGATGATGTCCAGCAAGTCCTCATCCAAGCTATTGGAGATCGAGGGCTCGCGAGTTAAAGTGAAAGAAAATGACAAGGGCATCTTCATAGAGAACGACACGGAGTTTCTTGTGTACCAAGCCCTCAGGAGTCGAGGCCTGGCGTATGAGTTCGCAGATCTGGTTACCTACACCGTCCATCAGCGCTGGGTGGATTGGCTCTTCTCCGAGCTTTCCAAGGAGCAACCAGCTAGATTTCAGAAGGTGCAAATGTTCCAGATCCTCCGAGCAGATAAGGCCGCATGGTTGCACATGGCGGATGTGGTGAAAGATATCAGGCCGTCAGACGGCGCGAGGCCTCTCGACCTCGAGTTCGCAAGGCTGCCCACGGTTCACTCGGTCGTCTTTGCGCTTCTCCCCCTGCAACAGTTTGGCTCCAAGGGCTCGGACCAGAAAGGAGACAAGGGAGGAAAAGGAAAGAATGGCAAAGGCTGGAAGGGCCGTCGTCCATCTCCCTACGACATGCCCAACCGAGATACGTGGTTCAGCCGCCCTGGTGGCAAAGACAGTGGCAAGCAGGGCAAAGGAAAATTCAAAGGCAAGGGCAAGAGCCAGCACGGCAACTCTGAGACACCCAGGATGCCCAAGGTGCTGCTCGGTCTCCATTACAAATGTCCGACCTCAGGGAAGCCCATATGCTTTGGGCGCAACCTGCCCGGTGGTTGCCCGTCCGGCAAGGGCAACGAGGCCCAGTGCGACAGAGGATTGCACATTTGTTCGAAGTGCCTTGGATCGCATTCTTACAACAATTGCCCGCAAAGGCAGGCCAACTGACCCTTGCCATCAGAGCGCTCCCGCCTTTCTCCAGACATAATAGGGGGCAAAGTTTTCCAGTCATGTTTTTCCCTCGAGCTCTTCGCCGGGTCAGCTGGAATGACGGCTGCCATGAAGAACGTGGGCCTTTCGGCTAGTTTTGGCATCGACAGTTTTCTCCTTCCTTCGCGTAAGGGCCCAGTGATAAGGTTGGACCTTTCACTTAAGGCTTCTCAGCACCTTGTTTTTCAAATCTTGAGTTCAGATCAGTTAGTATTTGTCTGGATGGCTCCGCCGTGCGGAACTTGTTGAAGATCTTGAATACAGCCCTTCTTGGATCACACAGCCTGTTATCATGACGCAACAGGAGCTGTGTGAGGCCCTCCGAGGCCTCAAGCAGCGCAAGGCAGTTGCACGAGGCCATGCACCGGCTGCAGTCTGGAAGGCTCTCGCTGCTCCACTGGCAGGGTATCTGTCTGCGTTCATTGCCCGACTTTGGCAGCCTGGCCGGCTGCATATACCAGAGGTGTGGACGCGGTCCGATCTGCACTTTCTTCCCAAACCCCAGAAAGTCACCAAACGGCCACAGGATCTACGGCCCATTGCCCTTCAGTCCTCGGCGGCAAAGGCGGTCACAACGGTTTTTAAATGGCGTCTCTCGCCCTCGTTCCTTGAAGCCATGAGGCCAGTGCCACAATACGCCTACCTTGCTCATCGGAGCACGCTTGAGGCCATAGCGCGTGTGGCATCCCACTGCGCCACCGTCAGGGACCTTGTCAAATCTCAGGCCCTTACTATCTTTGATAAGTTCGCGGGGGCGACGCTGTCGCCCTGCCTCGGGGGCGCACAACTCAGCATAGACCTCTCCAAAGCATTCGATTTGCTTCCGTGAAAAGTCCTCCAGGAGCTTCTACAGGATACCTCCTTGACTGAAGCCGAGCGAGCAGTTCTTCTGGAATGGCGCCAAAAAGGTCGCTACAGCATCCAAGGCCGCGGTAGCAGTAAACCGTCCTGTGTTGCACTCCACTGTGGAGTTCGTCAGGGGTGTGTTTTGTCACCCACCATATGGGGGTTGTTCACCAGGTGCATTCAACGACGGTTGGATGCGGTCAACGGCCCGGGCTGGACTGCGAAGAGAGGCACTCTCTACGCTGATGATATGCATTTTCAATGGATCTTTCGACAGGACAGCGAGCTTCATCAAATCCGCTTGGAAGTGCTCAATATCTTCAGGGTACTTAAGGACCTTGGAATGAAAGCCAACCCTGATAAAAGTAGCTTCCTCATTAGCGCCCGGGGACAACAAGCCCACAAATGGATGAAACGTTGGATCCGCAAGGACTCTGAAGGCCAGAAGCAATTTCACTTTGGAGGAGCCAAGGCCGATCGAGTTCCGGTTGCCACGCAGTTTACCTATCTAGGGGTGATTTTGTCTTATCAGATCTTTGAGCTTGCTACTGCACGTCATCGCATTGGTGTTGCGGCTGGTCACAGAGACAGGTTGCGGAAAGTTCTTCATGCCAGGCGGGTTCTTAGTGTGGGACACCGCCTCAGACTGTGGAAAATCATGGTACAGACTTCGCAGCTATATGCTCTGGAGGTGGTTGGTCTCACCCAGGAAACCGCCAAACTTCTGCATGTGCAGACCATGCGGCACTTGAGGGCCATCGTTGGCTCTGCTCGACATGTGGATGGTGACTCAGACCAGCTGTTTATGTTGAAACACGGCTTCCCAGACTGTGTGGAGTTGGTTCGCGCAAGGTGTGATACTTTTTGCAACAGGCTCTCTCAGCCTGATTCTGAGGCACCGTGTTTCGATGCAACTGCCATTCATCAGTGGGCTCAGCAGGTGCGAGGTGCACTCCCTGCGCCTTATGTGGCCAAGCCCATGTCAGGACCCACACAGGCCAGCCCGTCCAAGATTGCACCGGAAGCCCCTGCGTCTCAGCCGAACATTGCTACACCGCAGGATTGCCATGAGGATGCTGCTGAGCCTCCCGAGGCTCCGCCTGTCCCAGATGGGCTGCCAGGCTCACCGCAACCAACTCCTTCGGAGTTGCAGGTGCTACCACCCACCGCAGGGCAACTGAGGCCAGGACAGGAGGACTCGGGCACCGGTGAGTTCGTGTGTGCGTATTGCAGCCAGGTCTTTCAAAACTTGCGCGACTTAAAGACTCACGAAGGCAAGGCACACAAAAAGGTTAGGGAGAAAATTGCAGACGTGCAAACCACCGAACATGGATACAATGGACTTCCTCAGTGCAGGCACTGTGGTGACAAGTTCGCCAAATGGCATACGCGCCACATCTCCAGGCATGGCTGTCCTGCACTTGAGCGAGGTGTACCGAATGAGTTTGCCTTGGCCTAGGCGTCTGAGGTGCTGCATCCGCAGGCCGGAGGTACGTGACACCATCCTTGAGCATGGCTAGGAAAAACTGCTTGGGAATGCTGACTTGTGTGCTGAGCTCAAGCAACGCTGCGGCCTGTGCTATCAGTGGGTCTGTGGTGCCAGCAGGGGCATACGCAAACACATACGTGACAAACATGGCGAAGAGTTTGCCACACATGAAAAAGCCATTGCAGCACAAACGGCTCACTGGAAGCCATACATCAAGTCGCCCTGCCAAATCTGCGCTGCCGTCGTGACTGATTGCCGACAACATGCAGGCAACTGCGTGGCACTCATGCAATTGCTTCTCATGTCCTGTATACTCACTGGTAAGTACGTGCTCGTCGGATGCGCATGCCTCAGGATCCACTGACACAGGAAGCGGACTTGTGGGGAGCTCTCCTGCCATCACTTCCGGAAGGAGCGGCTGCGCTCCAGGAGGCAGCCAAGGCAATGGCGGAAAGCAGCCAAAAAGACGGCAAACGACGACGAACGACAGACGACTCCGCTTTGACCTTCCCGCCGGGGCAGGGCAAAGGCAAAGGCAAGGGCAAAGGGAAGGGCAAGGCCAAGAAAGAAGCGGCCAAGATGAGCTTGGACGAAACGGTGCAATTGATGGCGGCTGTGACCCTGCAGCTGGTGGACCAAAGCAGCCGGGTTCAGCTGGACACAAGCTTTCTCATTACCATCAAGAACGAGGGAGGTCCGGAGAACCTTCTTCCGGTCATGTACAGGGTTTGGGCTCAGTGGAAGAAAATCCAGGCCGAGGAGCCCAGCAAGCTGGAGCGGCCACTTCGCAGCAGCATGCTGATTGCACTTCTTATGGAGATGAAGGCCAGGGCGGAAAAGATGCTGAAGGACCCGGCTCAGCAGGACAGGCTCAAGGCTCTGGAGTGGGTCGATGCGGAGGGCCGTTGGGTTTACAAAAAGTGGAACCCGACTCAGGAGGCATTGTTCACGGACAACAGCCGCAAACCGGTACCCCAGGAGACCTTCATCGAGCAGCTGACCAAGGCCATGCAACTTCTGATTCGCCCGGAGAATCTCACGAGGTTTCAGTCCATGCGGGGCCTGACACCAGAAATGAAGGGCTACTCAGTAGCTTTCGAGGTGGCAGTGGGCTTGAGGTCAGAGGCGGAACCGCTTCACCGCCTCTTTTGCGAGTGGACGGACCTCCAGGCTTGGGTGTTAGGGGCCATCAGGATTCGGCCGCACCGCTTGAAGTGCCCGCCGGTAGCAGACCGGCTTTCAGCCTGGCTTGGCAGTCGCTGAGGCTCGCTAACCCGTGTAATCAATGTTACGTGAACGCGACTGTGCTTGCTGCGGGCAGATGGCTCTCGTCGAGATTGGTGCCTGCAGGTGACGGTGGGGATCGTGATCACAATCGCCTGCTTCGGGCACTTGCATCCCTGGCAGGCCTGGGTGCTGGCACTGGTGCCAACAAAACACATCAGATACTTAGCTTGATGTCATGGAGGCAGCTATTTATGGGGTGGAGCAGGCCGAATATGCAACATGATGCGAGCGAGTGGCTTCTACATCTGCTTCGCAAGGGGTCTGATGCTCCACGGGTCAGCCGATGGCAAGCGGGTGCATGGCTTGGAAATCGCTTTGAAGTGGAAGATGCAGGCGACAACATTATCTTCATGCCAATCTCAGGTGACGGCATCGGCGGAGGATGCACTCTCCAAGAGTGCGTCACAAAGTGGCATCGTGCACCCTCGCGTGTGTGGGCAAATACAGAATGCATTGCCTGCGTCCATGAGTTTGAGACGCACGTCTGCATTGCACTACAGCGCTTCTCAGTCCTGGATATAACGGTTCAGAAGTGTCATGTGCCGG